CTCAATCAGATTGAGCACGTTTTTAGCAAAGGCCAGCTTAGGAGTACCCTAATTAAGTTAATAACAATGTACCTACCTATATAGTTTCAGTTTAAAAAATTTAGCTTTCAAAAGAAATTTCAATCGTTGTACTGTTGATATTTGGCTCTGTTGACTAATGACTTTGCCGACCACTGTTCTAGGGGAGTGTGATTTTAATTCTTGTAAAATAGGGTTCTACTCTGCGCTTTATAAAGAAACAGGGAAAATGCTTGTAAGCTTGATTTTCATGAGCATTAGGAACAAGACTAATGAGAGGGTGGAGGTCCAATAAGCCAGGAGCTGTGGAAGTTGGTTAGGCACTACGCTAAGTGACCCTAGAAGAAAATCTACTGAACAAATGCTAGTTTTTTTGTGTTTTTTTGAATATATGTAGATGGAATTATTTTGAATGACAAAAAAAATGTGTTTCATATAGTTTTATTTAAATGGATGTCATTAAGACTAACACACTTTGGGATTTCCTCTGCTTGTTTTCTATATAGTACAGGTCATTCTTTGAGTTTAATCATCACCTGGAATCAATTATGAACAGAGCTTATATCTACAGGTAAGATGGGGTCAACCATGGACAGGGCGTATATCCACAGGTAAGATGGGGTCAACCATGGACAGGGCGTATATCCACAGGTAAGGTGGAGTCAATTATGAACAGAGCGTATATCTACAGGTAAGATGGGGTCAACCATGGACAGGGTGTATATCCACAGGTAAGATGGGGTCAACCATGGACAGGGCGTATATCCACAGGTAAGGTGGAGTCAATCATGGACAGGGCGTATATCCACAGGTAAGGTGGAGTCAACCATGGACAGGGCGTATATCCACAGGTAAGATGGGGTCAACCATGGACAGGGCGTATATCCACAGGTAAGGTGGAGTCAATCATGGACAGGGTATATATCCACAGGCGCGCTCAGGTAGTAAAGGAGGAGTGTGTAAGTGCATTACCTGTTCCAAAGATATAAATATTTTATAATTCTTAGCTTCATAGAGCGGTGAGGTGTCTCCCTTTGTTTGCAGTATCGGTCATTGCCTTCCTCCCGAGGGCCGCGTGGGCTGCCCATCAGATGGAGGAATGTTACCTCCTGCAAAGAGAAGGGATCATCTTGGATTTTGGCCACATAACTTGTCAGGTTATGTTCTAAAACAGACTTGAATATATTCTGAACTGAGATGAGAGTATGGAAATCATACTGCCTAAAAGTGAGGGTGTAATTCACACCAGAGTCTGATAACTGTTTTTGTCAAATAGGACTAAAAAAATAGGCCAAATTCCCGGCTTCCAGAACAGGTACAAATAACTGTGCTCAGTCACAGGCTGACTTCCCGTCTCCCTCAGAAAACTCATTCTCAGCCAAGTTTCGTCTATTTGCTCTACTGATGCTCTGGTGCATGGAGACCTCCAGCCACATAATCATAGCAGGAAGCCGGCAAGCTTTCCCGAGGTTAAGTCAGCGTGGCTATTTCATGGGACTCTAGGTGACCCTGGGGCACATCTTTAGGGAGCAGATCCCTAGCATCTGCAGAAAGAGAGGGAGGTTTTTACTCTGTCAGTGCTCGTCAGGACACCGCAGTCAGAGAACGTGCCTGGCTCCATCCTGTCACACTGCTGCCAGATTTGGAGCAAGGAGACTAGGCAGCAATGGTCAGAAGAAGGAACCGCTAGCCAGGCTGCGCTCGGAACAGCGCGTGTCCCTGCTCTGCTGTCCTCCACAGGGTCGCTCGGACGGCGGGCTGCTTGCTGTTTGCTCTGCACGTGAATGCCTGCATCTACTACTGGGCTTCTGACCACCAAGGCTTCGGATCCACCAGATGGGTGTACAATGGTGAAGGAAACATGTGAGTTTTCATTTTGAAGGAAACTTTTATTGCCTTCTTAACTTTCTGTTTCAGTGTAAGAGTCTTGTAAAGCCAGTGTTTTTGAAACTGTAAGTCACAACCCATCAGTGGACAGTGAAAACGCTTTAATGGGGTATTTTCCATGAAAGAAGGTCAAGTAAAAGAGGACAGAATAGGAAATATCAGAATCTGTCATATCTAGTAGGGGTGCATATGTGTATGCAGATGTGTGTCCATGTGTGCACACGTGTGCATGCATGTGTGCACATGTGCATGCTCATCCTGTGCTGACCCAGAAAGTGCATTTCTTACTCTGCATCATGACCAAACAAGTTTGGAAGCCTCTGCCTCAGACAGCTGAGGGCCAGGTAACGTTCAGTCACTCGGTGCGGATCTTTAGGGTGAACTGTGTCAGTTGTTTGGGGGGCAGGGGAGGGCTCATTAGTTGACCCCCGAAGGGGTTTATGGGTTATGGGTCAGCTATGACCACTCACTCAAACACTCAGAGAATCACAAGGACTCTGTTCAACTTGATGATTAGACAGGCAGGACCCCAGGAGAAAGAGGTCACCTGACTGTGTCAGGGAGCAGAGTCAGGACTCAGTGATGGCACCAGGGTACTCACCGTGAGACTCCCTGGGGGCAGACACAGGGCCTGGCCCAGTCCCCTCCACTCGCTTTCTGCACCAGTGAAACGACATTAGAGGCAACATCCTCGCCAGAAAGAGCAGCCCCAGCGTGGCTCTGATGGGCAGCCCACGCGGACCTCAGGAGGAAGGCAACGACCGATACCGCAAACAAAGGGAGACACCTCACCACTCACAGGCCACCTACAGAGAGTAGGACGTGTGTAAGGACTTAGACCAACAATTTTGAACTTTTAACCCAAACTGATTTTAAAAATTTAAAGTCAGAGGCCCACTTATTAGGAAAGCACACCTACATACACACACAGACACACAAACACACAGGCACACAAACACCCAGATTATCCCATGAGAGTTTACAGCCAGATCTATAAGTAATTCCATTTAGCATGTGAATTAATTTAAGTAGGTATTTAGTTTAGTATAAATAACTAATTTACATAGGGAACTGAGTAAGGTACCAACTCTAGTAAATATTGTCTAAAAGTGAGTGTATAATTCATGCCAGAGCCTGAATCAGCGAGCTAGTACAGAGCTGCACCGGAACTCCTTCTGCTGGGCGAAAGTGCGCTAACATCGGACTTCTGATCCCAGCCGTGGCGCAAGCCGCATGTCCACAGGGCCCATCTCTAAAATTCAACAAGCTCCATTACTTGTAATGTTTGTTGTTTGTGATTACTTGTTACATTTCTAGATAATTTGTGATCACAACTGCTTTCAATTATTGCAAAATTGTAAGAAGGATCGCAAAGTCTACCAAACAGCTGTGTGTGCTGAGGCCGGAGCAGGTGGCGAGACGCCATCAGGGAACAGAAACAAAGGCAGTGTCTTCATCTGGAGAAGTGACAATAGGATCAGAAAACTAAAAAACAGAATCTGTCAAAAAAGAATGGACCAAATTCACCAACCAAAAGTGATTGTCAATATCAGTCCAATAAGCTTTAAAACAAAAATAATTTTAGGAAAAAGAATGTCACCATATAACAGTAAAAGTTTTAATTCCCCATTAATATATCCCAATTCTAAATGGTATGCACTTAATAAAGTACTTATAATAAATCAGAGAAACTCATATAGCAAAAATGAATACATGGAAGATAAATCAGCAAAAACACCATCAAAGTGTGGACAGCTGCACGTGACTGATTGGTCTGAAACAGTGGTTCTCAACCTTGGCTGCACATTAGAATCACCTGGGAATCTTTTTAAAATCCTGATTTCTGGGCCTCATCCTCCGGAAATTCTGTTTCTTTGTTATGGGGTGGGGCCACATTAGTAACAAAGAAACAGAATTTCCGGAGGATGAGGCCCAGAAATCAGGATTTTAAAAAGATTCCCAGGTGATTCTAATGTGCAGCCAAGGTTGAGAACCACTGGTCTGAAACAAGAACAGTTAGTGAGGACAGAAAACGTGAGAACGTAGGTGCCCGGCTGGGTTCAATGGCTGTAAATGGAACCTTGCACGGAATAATTAGAAACCACCTGTGCCTCTTACTGCCTCACAGAATTACAAAAGGGAGCCCTCCCTAGCCAGGAAGCAGGTCGCACACTTCCCAGCAGCGGTTCCCTCCGGCCACCTCCCTGAAGGCAAGCACTGCCTTCCCCCAGGCGCCGACACTGCTGTGTCGCCAGGAGACCCTCAGAACCAAAGCTTCCCCTCCAGGGGCAGCCAGGGCACGGTTGCCGTCCTCATCCTCGGAGAAAGGCCTCTAGCAGCGGCATGCTCACATATTCCAGGACAATCTGCCTGGGGCCCTCAGGGGCACGGCTGCTCCTCCTGTGGCTTTGTGCACTCCGGCCTTGCAAGCCTGTGTGGTGTGTGATGACCCCTAGATGGAAGGTGCTCCCGAGGCCACTGGGCTGGTAAACTTTGCCCTCGCAAGGACCAGGCGGCAGACTGTGGCCTCAGTCGGCGCTGGGCACATTTAAAATAGAACCAAGTTTGCTGCTGCCCCGTGAACCCTCACCAGACTGACACCGTATGCTTCAAGAGGAGACAAGAAGTCCCTTCCATTTGTATGGTGAGAGGGCACCCTGCCTTAGAAAGCTCAGGGTCAAGGACAGGGCTTAGCCAAGGGGAAGCATGACCAGGTAAGGTTCCCTGGTTCCCGTGAATACATATATTTATTTCTCTTCTGTTATCAGTTCCCCAATATGCCCAAAGCTCTCAGCACACCTTAAGCCCCGATGCCTAGCACACGGGTCTTCACAGGAAAGGGGAGCGCCAGGCTGCCCAGGGGACCACGCGGAGGACGTGAGGAAGGGCTGCCGCCTGCCCGCGGCTGGGGAAGCCGAGGGTAACAGCCCCGTCTCCCACAGGAGATGCAGGCCCAGGTCCGTGAGGGCGCCTCCCCGGAGCCCCCCAGATACTTCAGCTCAGACCCTGGCCAAAGCCCAGGAAGACCAGCCTTGACCCAGACACGCGGCCCCATCAGATACAATCAGACCGCCAGGCTGCAGAGTTCCGTGAGCAGAGGGAGGCGGAAGCGCTGGGTCACTACCCTAATCCTAGAAAATCCGTAAGATACCACCTAATTAAGTCACAAATGTTACCTTTGGTTGTGCATGTCTGGATATAAGACACGACAGAAAAGAATCCTCAAACCCCAGGGCATCAGGGCAGAAAACCTCCAATTAGCAACAGACTGTTCACACACACACAATAGTGTAAGCCAGCGCCTGAGCTGCATAGGGGAGTGGTATTTAACATGGAAAACAAGAAAACGAGGGAGCAATTCACATGCGTGTCCCTGCTCGCGCCGGTGACGGAGGAGGGCACGGGAGTCCCGACACCTGTCGGAGAGGGTCACACAGGGAGGGGAGCCGGCCCTCCCCCCTGCTGGGCAGTATTGGCTTCAGGGGACACAGATCAGAGGGTGATGAGGGCCTGGGGTGGGGGCGGGACGGGCTAGAAGAGGTCAGTGCGGGGAGAGGGGACATATGTAACACTGTCAACAAGAAAGATTTAAAAATAAAGTTCCTTAATTTAAAAAGACACATAGGTGCAGGTAACAGGAAATGATACATTTGAAAGTTAAAACGCAATCCATGAAATTCATCCCATACTTCTTCAAGCTGCTTCTCTCTAACATCCAAGCTCACTGTGACAGTACTAAGCCCACGGAAGCTGCTGGAGGAAATTGCAGTGATGGCATTTTCACCCCCTTGGCAGAGTGGTTCCCAACCTACCAACAGTGGTTCTCAGGCGATGCACCCCGAAACCAGAGAGGAGGGAGTCCGATTCCAGGGTGCATCACCTGAGAACTGCCGTCTCGCAATCTGGGACCCTTTGGGGGATATTGGAGAGCTGGTTTTGGCCTGATCCCTGCAAGCCAGGCTGAGGGACCCCGCTCACTCCAGAGACACCCTTTGAGCCACACGGCCACCCCAGGTGCAGCCAGCCAGCCAGGGAGGGACTGCAGGAGGTTGGCTCCAGGGCGTGTCCAACCCATCTTGCCCAGTCCCACCCTGTCGGCCACCTTCTAATTAATTTCCTTTCAATGTGCATGAATCCGTGCACCAGGGCACTAGTTTAAAATAAGAAGAAGAAGAAGTTGACATTAGAACATGTGGTACTTCCCAATGCTGCCGTGGAAAGAAATCTTGATCAGGAGGATGTGTGTTATAATGTGGTGGTGATCTATGTTCCCAAGCACAGTGATATTTTAATGTTAGAGTAGAAAGCAAAACGTGTATTTTCTCTTTTCTCAGGTATCTGAGATGTTATTACTGGGCAGTCCGAAGTTTGATTACCATTGGGGGTCTTCCAGAACCACAAACTTTATTCGAAATTGTGTTTCAGCTGCTGAACTTTTTCCTGGGAGTTTTCGTGGTCTCCAGCTTGATTGGTCAGGTCAGTCAAGATGAGAAAACCAGGTACATGATGCTGTCACTGGGAAAGCGTGTGCACCTCTGTCAACTTCGCAGGAAAAATCAGAATCTGTGTGGTGCTCTTTTCAAACTAACCCTCATCTACATTCCTGAATCAGAGGAGGATGGGATGGGCCTTTCTGTTTTCAAAGCATCAAGTCTATTGGGGACCTGTGTGCACAGAGCGTTGGGTTAGACTCACAGAGAAAGGCACGTTTCCAAAGTAACTTCCTACTTTTACCTGAGCTCCCCCAAAACCTTTTACTTAAACATCAAGTATTGCCATTGACCCAGGCTAGCCTGGCCAGTGTGGGTTGGTGTTGAGGGTTGATCTATAAACCAGGAGGTCACAGTTGGATTCCAGGTCAGGACATATGCCTGGATTGCGGGCTAGATCCCCAGCAGAAGGCATGCAGGAGGCAGTCAATTGATGATTCTCTCTCATCATTGATGCTTCTCTCTCTCTTTCCGTCTCCCTTCCTTTCTCTCTCAAATCAATAAAAGTACATATTTTTTAAAAGGGGGGGCTAAAATCCACTTCAGAGGTCATATAATGGGGAGGTCAGCAAATGCCGCCCAAATTAACTTAATTAAGAAGCCATCAGTTCATCAGTGTTCATTGTGGCAGCTCCTGTCTTTGTTCTCAAGGAGCCACAGTCTCAAAGGAAAGCAAAGCAGATGCATAAGTAACTATTGCAAGGTGGTTGGCATTTGCAAGAAACAGAGCCCAATATCTTCACGGATTCCCAGATTCACAAAAAACAAAAAGCTCAACAGCAGAGCATCTACAGAAGTTACACCTCTCAGAAGGTACTTCACACTGCACATTCGAGAGTAAAAAGCCACGTTGAGATCTGTGTGCTGGGGAGAGTCAAAGAAAATCACAGAGTGGTATTCCCACTCACCTCACTCACCATGGTGTGAATAAAACCCGTGCTGTAACAAAACTTAGCAATAAGCACTATTCTCTGTAACACCGGAAGCTGACCACCCATAGTCAGCACTCATTTCCTACCTCCATGTGTGGCAAGGACTTGCCCTCCTTAAGACCAGAGGGAAGTTGGAAAACTCTGTATTCGCTCAGAAAGGGGGTGCTTCCCAGGAGGTTCCTTGGAGGAGAATTCGTTGAAACATCTTAAAAAGCAGATAAGAGTCGGTACTTACAGGTGGGTGGTTTCGTCCATCTGATGGGCAGTGATGAGCGCAGGCTGTGCTGGGGAAATAGAGCAGGTACCAGAAGGATGGAGGGACACTTGTGACTAAGGTTAGAGGTGTGTGTAGGGATGAGCTGGTTTAGGGCTCTGAATGTTCAGGCAAAGATACTGACTTGATCCTAAAAGCAATGGGAAGTCAGCCAGGGGAGGATTTTGAACAAAGAAGAGATTCAAGAAAGATGAGCCAGGCCGTAGCCAGGCCACTTGCATCTACAGCAGCATCTCCACGTGGCCTGCCACAGCAAGCGCTTTCCCACACTCGTGCAACCATGCAACCTGAGCAGCGGGGAGGGCGCCATTCCGGTGCAGGGTAACCGCGAAGCAGCCCTCCTGGTTGCACACGGAGAACCTCAAGAGCCCGCAGACAGGTCACCTAGAGGCGAGGCTGGTGGAAGACCTTTTGGCCCGGTGAAGAGCACATTCCGCACGTCGAGTGTGTGTCACAGACCCTGCTTCGCATGCATCAGCGGGACCCTGAAGGCGAGGCTGAGATTTTGCCATTGGGCCAGACTCCTTACCAAAAGGATGTGTCCAAGATGATCATGAACTTGGCTCGCTATCACCGTCCACCGGGCACAAGGCTCGTGGACGAACACTGCCCAGCAGGCCGAGCCGCGGAATTCTCCGCTGCTGTCCGGGTGGCTGCGGTCCAGGCCTCCTCCGGCGCTGTCCTCGAGAAGGCGACCCAGTGATCCCCCGACACTGTTCAAGAGAAGGCGACCCAGCTGTTCCCCAACACAGTCTAGGAAGCGGCGACCCAGAGCTCCTCCAACGCTACCCAGAGCCTGGTTCCCAGGTTATGAAGGCATTTCGGGGCCCAGACTGCGAGCCAGGCAAGGTTCTAGTGAAAACGCCTGTCTGGAGCCTTATTCTAGGTCCTGCTTCTGCCAGAAGCTGGGGAATATAAAGGGTGGTGTGGGTTGTTCTTGGTTTCCCCTCCCCACCCCCATGTTAAATGTTTGCAAACACAAATCTAAAAAGTTGTAACAAAAGAATCAAATTTCCTTAATAAAGAATTACCAAAAAAAAAAAAAGAAAGAAAGAAAGGTTAACCAAAATATAATATTAAATTGAAGGGCTGGTACTTTTTGAAATGTAGGTTTTATTATTACTTAGGTAAGGTGAGGCCAACAGACCAGGATGCAATTGGCATCAAAACATTGTTTTACAAACAGATCCAAGAGGACGGGTCACACAGGTGGCTGCAGGAGGCAGGGCCAGGGTGGGAGCAGGTAAGTGGGGTAAGGAGTCAGGTGATGTGGCTCTGGGAAGTGGGAGCTGCCTCTAATAGTCTGGCCCTGCCCTGGGGTGAGGAAGGCAGGCAAACAGTGAAGGGGCTGTGAGTGCCCCGGAAGGAAGGCTCACACTGGTCAGTCTGCATCTGGAAGGTGCACAGCCCGGATAGTATTTTGCCAACTCCAGGAATAAGCTAACTCTGGAAGGGGTTGGTCCCCATATATCAAAGCACCAAAATACAGAAAATGAAAAGCATGGTCAATGCAATTACACGGGAATAGGGCAACTCCAGCCTGAGCCTGGTAACAGAGAGGAGGGAGGCTGTGGAAAGCATTTGGGTTTGAGAAGATGAACACCAAGCAGTTAACAGCTGTGCCTATGAAGGAGAACCTTAGTGGCTGGGAGGTTGCATTAATGATGATTGGAAGTCGCAGGTAGGTTTCGAGAGAAGTACAATTCAGATTCACATGTGTAATGTATGCAGTCATAAGCTGCAGCCATGTAATGTACTATTGGTACTAACAGCAGAATCCAGCATGTGCTCAGCACTCTCCATGTCCAAGGCAATGTTTACACTATTCAACACCGTCTGGCTCCAGGTCAGTATTCTTGCTACTCAGATGTGTCCTCAACCAGCAGCAGATTCTCCTGGGAAAGTCAGATTCAGGCTGGACGCAGGCCAAGACCCAAGGAGCGGACGTGTGTACTGTAAGAAGACCTTCGGGTGGTTCCTGTGCGCTGGCGGTTTGAGTAGCGGTGCGTACAGAACCACCCCACCTGCCTTTCTGTTGACTGAGATTCGACAGGAACAGGGAGGAATGCCTCGCTGCTGGAAATGCAGAACCAGAGCCCCAGGGCAAGCCTGAGGCCGGAGGTGGAGGCTGTGCCTTGAACTCGGCGTGCGCAAAGGTGATGAGAGCTGGACACACACCTAGGAGGGCCTGGACAGAATGGCTCGTTCACGACCCACCTATAACCAAGACATGCCACGGTTTACTGCAGGCCTCCACCCTTCAACCCCAGAGCCCCACACTCCCGCTCACGCCTCACACCCTCCCTCACCTGGAGCACAGGGTGGATTCCCGTCAACCTCAACTCCTGCGCCAACAAACCCAGCGCACGAGCCACTCAGATTCCTGTCGCTGCCAGTGCTGGGCCTTCAGCGCGGCTCGATAATGCTTTTAATGGAACTTGGTTCCCAATTTAAAACCCTATTAAATTTCCCACCCAGCCTCCGAGGGCTCCGTCATGGTCACCATTTGTCAAGAGCAGCTTGGAGAAAGGAGTGAGGGAAGGCGGCCGCTGCGGAACGCTGGGAAGAGATCCCAGGAGTCAGGCTGACGCGCAGGTGGCCAGTTGACCCCTGCACAGCTGCTCAGAGCTGACAAGTACCAGGGCCTAAGAATTCTTTTTTTAAATATATTTTTATTAATGTTAGAGCGGAAGGGAGAGAGAAAGAGAGAGGGAGAGATAGAAACATCAGTGATGAGAGGGAATCATTGATTGGCTGCCTCCTGCACGCCCCC